TGATAAATTCTCATTCGAATATTAAAACATAAATTTATTACTGATTAATGAAATCTGTGATGATTATTAATAATTATATTTAATGCAATTTTTTTTTAAATATTACTAAAACTGGAAAAAAAACATCCCGGTTTAATCTGCCATCAATTTCTGCGATCCGCACTTTGAGAATCACTGGATTACAGCATGAGAGGGATTGTAGTAATGCGTTTTGAATGTCATTTAATTATTATGTCATATTGATGTACCTCGCTTAGTGCGGACTGTTTCAAAACCGACTAATCGAGGAACTAAATATGTATATGGAAATAAACCGCAAAAGAGACAAAAATATGTTGTGTACTATATTTTTTTTTAATTTGCTAGTTTTGAAATTTTCAAATCGGTCTACAGAATTCGCACTATGCGAGGTATTTCTTTACTTGATGATTAAGAAAATTAAGCAATATATGGAACTCAAATGGGTGATCAGTTCTACTCGAAATAGAAATAAAAACGTATTCTATGATTAAAATGTATGGATTCTTTAGTAATGTACATATTATTAGGGATATTTAGATGAGTTTGCGTGAAAATAATAAAAAACTGGTATGAGACTTACCAGAAGCACGTTTACTGGACGATCCAAAGTTAAATGTATCCAGACGCCGTGCAGTTCTTCGCTCGAAGATATCGAGATGATCCCCGTCCACCTGTCGATCTCATCCTTAGCTCGAGGTTCGTAATGAAAGATACCGGGACAAGGGTACGTCTTCTGCGCCACGAAAAGTTCGCAAAGCGCCACGAAAATCAGCAATTTCAAAACGCAAGTTGATCCACTCATGTCTGTCAGGTTTATCCAGCCCAATAAATGGTCGTTTAACGCGCGCACAAGGAACTCATCTACGCTTTGAATAAATAACTTTATTATTTATTTTCTCGCAAGAATCGAGACGCGCGTACAATGATCATTTGGTGTATTATCTGAAGATTACAAGGTTGGATTGTCCCGTAGACCTTTGCTGTTTGTACGGCAAACCAGTTTTGTTCCATCGGAATTTCCGATCGTTGCTGTTTCTTTTTCTTCACCTCTTTTTCTACTTCTTTCTTGTTTTTCGACGTCTAATGTGAATGTTAGTTTCTTACGCGCAGTCACGATTATTCAAACTTTCAGTTTTGATGCGATAAGAAAGGTTATCGAAGATAATCTTTTTCAAAACTTTGCTTTTGAATGGTTCGGTGTTTCTGTTCTACAATTGTTTGTTTCCATTAACAAATTTCTTCTGATGTCACCAATTGGTTTGTTATTGATCAATTCACTGTTTTCTATTCAATCCCATTTCCATCATTAATTAATTAATCCACTTGCTAACTATAATTACTTATTGTCATATTGATCTAATATTTAAATTCCACAACAAGAGACTTTATATATTTTGTAATATTAAAAGTAACATAGATAAACATTTAGCGAAATTAAATTACGTAACAAAAATTAAATAGAAAAAAGTAATTTTTTTTTTATCCCGTTTCGGAAACGCAGCCTTGACTCCACATACGCCAATGATAACAAAATTTGCATTAATATATAATTATCATGTTTTTTTTTTGGAGCTACCGAAAGTTTTGATTTATGAAATATTAATCGGTGCAACCAATTAAATGAAATTTAAATGTTCCCATACGAAAATTTAGCAAATATTTTATTTCAACGAAAGTTGAAATGTTTCCAAGAACAGATAATTAGAAAGATTTATTCAAAAATCTTGACCTACGAGTGGACCTGGTCTTAATTAGGCGCCGACTCTTGTAGATCCGTTATAAACTACACCTGTTTTAGTATTAAAAAGCATACAAGTTGTATTTTCCAACTCCTTACAATGATTTACGTATTTTACTCATCAGAAATGAATAAAAATGTCGGTCACGTTTTTCGAACTCGGAAAGAAAAAGTTCGGTCATTGTACTGTGGTGCAATAAATAGTCTCCCTCTTCTCTCCAAAGTTAGAAAACCGTTGAAATATTTTCTTTCGCAATAGTTCTTATGATTCCAGTAATTGTTATATAATCTTGATTTACAATTTAAATGTAATTAAATCTAGATTATTTTTGAATGCGTTTTGAATGTCATTTAATTATTATGTCATATTGATGTACCTCGCTTAGTGCGGACTGTTTCAAAACCGTCTAATCGAGGAATTAAATATGTATATAGAAATAAACCGCAAAAGAGAAAAAAATATATTGTGTACTATATTTTTGTTTTAATTTGCTAGTTTTGAAATTTTCAAATCGGTCTACAGAATTCGCACTATGCGAGGTATTTCTTTACTTGATGATTAAGAAAGTTAAGCAATATATGGAACTCGGATGGGTGATCAGTTCTACTCGAAATAGAAATAAAAATGTATTCTATGATTAAAAAGGATGGATTATTTAGTAATGTACATATTATTAGGGATATTTAGATGAGTTTGCGTGAATATAATTAAAGAATTTTGATAATAATTTCAATTAATCATATTATTTTGCAGCGAAAACACATTCAAATTGGTTTTTTTCTCATCATAAATCTGAATATTAATTTACTCATTTAGATCGAAAATATAACATTTTTAAATTACATTTTGTTGAAAAACAAAAACAATTTGAATGATAAATTCTCATTCGAATATTAAAACATAAATTTATTACTGATTAATGAAATCTGTGATGATTATTAATAAATATATTTAATGCATTTTTTTTTAAATATTACTAAAACTGGAAAAAAAAAATATTAAAATGTTATTCAATAAAGAACATAATTCTAAAATAAATCTGATGTTTTTTTTTAAGTTATTTAAGTTTTAAGGTAAGTAAACATACAAATCTAATCGACACAAACATTCTTAAGTTTGCCACTTCAAAACAAGAATAGTGCTAATAAATTTTTTGGGTGCGGCATAAAATAAACCGTATTTTTTTTTACTTACAAATGGGAATGTCACATCCTTGCTCTTTGGTTTTGTTTCTTTCTGTAGTCTGTGCACATTGTACAATTTTTTTTTATATAAATATTTCATCTAAATTTGAATTACTTTTATTGCTTCAATCTAAGAAACAAATCTTATATAGTCATACTTCGGTTAACATTGTCTCTAATAACGAAGCTTCGATATAACGAAGTCCTCAATTTTAAGCTCCATAAAACATGTTTCAATTTAAGACAAAGTATGGCTAAAAGTTGTACCAGAAGAAAAAATCAGAAATGAAGTTATACATACTGTATCAATCAAGAGGATTCGAAGATGTCGTTGAAGAGAATGTTATAAAGTTAGTGTAGAAGATGATGGTGGAAAAAGAAAGAAACTGAAGACAAAATTTGAGAAGAAATATTAACAATAAAAGATGCTTAAATGACATTGAAAACTTATTCATTTCTTTAGTAAAAATTGTCCCAATTTTGGAAGAAGTGTGGACCAAAGTTTCCTGAAGTGTGCGGCTGTGAACTATTACTGTTAACATAAAGTTCTCTCTGAGATAGACCAATCTTTTGCCTTGAAGCGACGCTGAAGAATTCTGCAAAAATGTTTGGGAATCCCTGATGTAGACAAGAATTATCAATTTTTGGTCTATTCCTTTAAGTCTCCTTTTGTGCGGGATATTGACGTAACCGATTATCCGCACTATGTGATGTATCTTGTATATCGGAGGTACGATTGTATATTATTTGGAGGATTATGTAAAAGTCTTATGATTTGTCTAATGTTGAGTATATCTTAAAGATTATATTTCGATATAATAACGTAAACTTCTCAACAAATATTGCCATTTGAGTATTGGAAGATTTATAATAGGACCAATGCCCCTACCTTGTGGAACTTCAACACCACATTTCAATGAACTTGACAATGTAAAAAGTTGTTTTAATATGAAGATGTATAAAATTTCCAATAGAATCTGCTATTTATCCAATTCGTGTTGATGCACATAAACAAATTAATTATATTCTTAATGAACTACTACGCATATTATGCGAAAACTCACGTGCCATGACCAATGGTAATATGATGAATCAGAATGTATATGTTATCTTTTTGTTGCAGGTGTTTTTGTAATGTTGCAAACGCGAAATTTTACATAACAATATTGACACTTTATCAGCATACATTAAATGTTACATAATTCTCATTATTTTCAAAATATTCTCAATGCGAACATAACATCAACACTCGTTCATTCAAAACAGTTTACTCGAATGGGAAATGAATGATTGTTGATTAGTTATGTAAATACTTTCTGAAATACACGAGAGTGCGGGTAATCATTTTCTTCCCATATGGAAACCGGACTATACGGGGACATTAAAACCGCCTAAAAAAATAAGTATCACAAAAAGCCTTGACTTTATAAAGAAAAAAACGTTTGTTTCAAATTTTCAAACCGTAGTGAACCCGCACTGATCGAAGCCGACTTATAAAACTTAAACTTGAATAATTCATTTTATAATTTAGATGTTTCTTTGTAACAGTTTGTTTCTTTGTAACAATTTTTTTGTAAAAATACATAAATATTGTTTTGTTTAATAATTTTCATCATTTCATAGATGCATAGATTGTATCTCTTTAATTGAGAACTGTTATGTTATTAACCCGTACAAAGTATTTCCAATAACACGTGTACGAAGAGTTCGTCCTTCAATAGCTTTAAAAAAAGTAACTGTTTGATTTGTTAAACTGCTCTTGCAAAGGTGACTGTAGCCGCATGCTCGAATGACTATAATTAATCTTATTTTTGTTTTGTTTCTTTTTTTTAAGTAGACTTTAAGCTTTTCAATTATCGAAATTGCTGCATAATTGGCAATTAATTTGTGTAGAAAAAAAAGAAGGATTATTGAAATGCCATCTATGTAAATTTTATTTAAATATCGATTAAAGTTAGTCTCAAAATAAAATCTTTTTAATTTCTTATTCTAGAACAGTGGTTTCCAAATTTGATGTTACTACGCCTCCCTTAAAAGTATGTAATCATTTGGCGCCTCCCCACCCCCCTCCATTTCATAAAAGAAACGCGTATTACAGCAATATGGATAAGAGCACAGGAATGTATCTATACTTGCTGGATTCCCCAAACATTCAGCTTTCATATGCATTATTGGATTCATTCTATCTATTATAGTTTTCGAGTAAATCAATGAAATGTGAAAACACTGCTTTTTCGAACGTTCTTCAGTTTCAATTTT